TGGTGATCCTATTCAAGGTGTGAGGAAAATAGGATTATTTCATATTTGCATATTGCTTCTGAATGTCATCTTTCCTGAAGACTCTTTCCTGCTTATGGTTATAAGAAAGGGAATAGGTCTTAGAGAGATTGTGTTCAGTATTTTCAGAGCCGGAGTGTAAACAGAGACTATGGTTCCTGTCGTTTTATTTGCCCAGATTAGTCGTACAGGAGAGAAGACATATCCTGCTGTGCCCACAGTTTCTTGTCTTTGGTGTATTGACATAGCCCAGTGGTTACAAACACAGGGTGATTCACAGCCCCCTTAGAGATTCCATCCACTTTTGTATCCCTGGTGGATTTTTCCTTCCGCTGCTGTAAATGTCAGCTGGGCAGAACCTCTGGAATTAGGTCCTATTTGTCCTACATCTTGCAGAAATTATTCAAAATGTCTAGCCCATGGGCGTCCTTATTCCTTATTTCCTGTGCAAATACAATCTTTTCCCTGATACATATCAATGAAATGATTATACACACGCATCATTTAGGAGGTAGGGGATTAAATGTATGGGATAAAATCACCAGTTTGAAACAAAAATAAAGTAGGCTCTTTTTGAGCTTCCCCATAATTACCATACTTCGGGGGAAACATTAATTTCCCTTTCTTTTCCCCAGAATACATTAAAAAGTAGAACAAGTTACTGTCGCTCTGCTTCCTTTGGTTTGGCAAATAGAACAACATATATCAAGTCTGCAGATTTTCTGAACACTCTGAAATGTAAAATACTCTTTGCCTAACTCCTTCCAAACTTGTATGTCATATAAATGTCCCATCCCCCATCCATGTTGTGTCCTTTTTTTTTTTTTTCTGTTTCTTAACACCACCTTCAAATACAACCATAACCTCTATGATAGATTTTTAGTGCCCTGCTTTCCCTACTAAACTGTAAACTGTTTGCTTTTATTTTAAGTTACAAACCTCATGTCTATCACAGTGTCTGACATATAGTAGACAGTAAATATGTACTGAATTGATGATTAAATAAACAGTAGAAGGGAGCATTTCCTTTTTTTCGGCATTTTCAATGAAGTTGTTCTTAATTAAAATAAATAAGTGAAATGTGCACTATGTTTTGCAGTGCAAGTATATAGTCACAGAAATGTTCAGTTACAAATTTATCTAGAAATGTCACGGAATTTGAATGCCTCCACTGTGGAGTCATGGGTAGATTTCTTATTTGGTTAGGCTTTAAACAAAGTACAATATAGGCCTAGAATCTTTGCCTAGGTTTATCTAAAGTTCCAGAAGGATGTTTGATCTGCATAGCAATTTAAGACAATTTGAAAGAATAGGTAGAAAGAAACTCAGGTGGCATAGAGAGTAAACACTCAGCCACTAACTAAAAGATCAATGGTTCAAAACCATTAAGAGACACATCCCACAATCTGCTTCCATAAAGATTACAGCCTTGGAAACCCTCTGGGACAGTTCTACTCTATCCTAAGAAGTTACTATGAGTTGGAGTTAGCTTAAACACACACACAAAAACAACCCCTGGCTACCAAGTTGATTCTGACTCACAGGACAGAGTATCACCGTGCTGTAGGGTTTAAGGCCCTAAACCATCCTCTTAGGCGGTCCAGGATTGCCTAAGATCAGTAAATGAACTACCTGCTTTGCTCTCCCATGAGATTTATTGGCTAGTATGTCTCTCGTGTCCCAGGCTTTTCTCAAGTCCTGATAGTTGCAATGTTCTAGTCCTGTTTTCCCTCCTTGTTTAAAATCCTGTCAAGGTTTCAACATCTCCTGACTAACAGTTCTTGAATCTCGACAATCCATGTGTTACACTTGCCCACATCATTTATGTCTGTGTCCATAAAAATGGATGAGTATGTGTTTATGTGTTTTCTCTATGAGTGTTCTCAGACTCTTTCATGTGTCTGTCTGGCTGGACTGAGGGACCACAGAGCACTTCTTGCAGCCTAACCACAGCAGGAAGACTCGGCTCTGGTCTCAGACCACCAGCGGGATCCCACCATGGACCTGACATGGGGGTGGAAGCCATACTGCCTCACAGCTCCTCAATAATGCTGAGCAGCAATAAGGGAAGGAAGAAGATATTCACAGAGCCCCACAACAATGGATCAAGTTACCATGGCCAGTGTTGAAATGTCCACAGTTCTATAAATCACAGAATTTCATTTTCAATGTAGCATGTAACTACCATGAGAAGACTAAATGTCAATGGCTGCCTCTTCAGTGGTTCCCAACCTTCCTAATGCCATTACAGTCCCTCATGTTGTGGTGACGCCCAACCATAAAATTATTTTCGTTGCTACTTCATAACTGTAATTTCGCTAGTGTTATGAATTGTCATGTAAATATCTGATATGCAGGATGTATTTTCATTGTTACAAATTGAACATATTAAAGCATAGTGATTAATCATAAAAACAATAAGTAATCATATATTGTGAACTATTTATTTCTGATTACAAATAGATGAAATTTTGCCTTGAAGCATGGTGTGGCATGGGTAACGGTCTTCATGCTGGGTACTCTTATGTGGGCATATCTGCATGTGGGCGGACCTGCCTGGAGACAGATAGAGGAGCAGTGTCTCGGTTCCTAAGACCATCGGAAATATGTGTCTTCGGATGGTCTTAGGCAACCCCTGTGCAAGGGTTGTTCAACCTCTACAGGGGTTGCGACCCACAGGTTGAGAACCGCTGCTTTACGTAGTAAACTCTCCACTCTCTGTTTAGTCAATTGAGTCAGCCCCAATTAACGATGATTCATGCAGTAAAGAGTCAAACTGCTCCGCAGGGTAATGTTCGCCAAAGTCGTTTGCCAGGGCATGCTTTCGTGCAACTACTGAATAGATTTGAAGCTCCCATCTTTAGATCAGCATCTGATTGCACATGACTTATATTGCATGGATTGTGATAGGATAATATATTTTTGAAATTTGTTTAAAGAAGGGAACCACTGGACTGTGAGACCTATTATTCTATCTGTCTACCTATTTACCTATTATTGATCTTCCTGTCATCATTATTATTACTATTGTACTAACCATGGAGCCTGATATAGTAGTTGGTACACTGGAAGTATCAATTAATATTTATTGGGTGTTTGCATATATGGGGTCATCCTGAAACAAAATCAACTGGATTGAAACTAGCAATATATTCTCTGAGTCCCTGAGGGGCACAAATGGTTAGCTTCTCAGTCATTAACAGAAAGTCCACGTGATTTGCTTTCAAAAATTCCCAGCCATCAACAACCCTATCAAAAATAGCTTGATTCTGAAACACATGGGTCTCCATCAGTCAGAACTGTCTTGCCAAAAACTGGTCTGCTTGTTTATGGAAATGTTCTAGGGGTTGTTTGAGAGCTGAGGATACCGCGATAAGAGAAAACTCTGTTTTCTTGGCCTTTACATGACATCAGGGGTGGGGGAGAGAGAAAACAGAAGCTGATATAAACACATGGAAAGCATGCAGACATAAACAAGTTAACTAAAGAAGAAAATATCTGAAGTGTGAATGAAGTGTTAATAGAATGTTCTAGGGAGATAGAGTGGAGAGCTCATTTACATTGAGTGGACTGGAGGTGAAATTTAACTGAATGTCTATAGCCAGCACTGAAAAAGTCACAATATTCTCAACATTGGCTGCCATAAGAATCACCTAAAGAGTTAAAGAATGTAACTGCTTCTCCTAGAGGCCTGATGATGCTGTTTTGTAAGAAATGACCTGCTAACTGGAAGGTTAGTAGTTCAAATCTTCCAGCCATTCTATGGGAGGCCTTGGGTTCCTGTAAAGATGTATAGCCTTGAAACCGTAAATCCAAATTAACTCAAAGACAGTGGGTTTGCGTTTTCTTAAGGTTAGTTCCTCAGAGATGATGATTTAACTGTGCTTGGGTGAAGGGGGGTCTAGGTATTGGTGTTGTTTAAAGGTTCCACAGATGATACAGACAGACAGATTGGGAACCACTGAAGAGAAAGAACATCCCACAGGAAGGACTAGCTAGTATTCTGTATGGGAGTGAGGCTGTGATTAACAATGACTAACATAGCTCAGAGGAGACACAGGGAACTTTTAAATATCCATGTGCCCTGCCACTCTTTAGCATGTTAAATTATACACACACACACACACACACATATACATATACATATAAACATGGACACTGACAGACTTTCTAAGAATATGTAAAATCCATTTGATGTGTGTATGGATTGTGATAAGAGTTGTATGAACCCCTAATAAACCGATTTAAAAAAAACGAATAGCTAAAGCAAAAAAAAAAAAAAAAGAATCTGTAAAATCTAAATAAGGATTCCTGTGATAAAAGAAGCATACCATGAAAGAAATATGAATGTAGCACCAAACGTAAAAGTGTCACAGTAAACTTGGACTTCAAGAGAGACAGAATAGATAGTAAAGTTTTTCTATAGAGTCTCGTACTTTCTTGGAAGATTCAATTAGCAGAAGACATTTGGGGATCTTGATGTTAGGTTTCTTGATTTCATCTACTAGACAAACACGTGTAAGATTATGATCACTGAAAATAATATGGACTTTTAAAAGGGCAATGGAGTAAATAAATGATAACTGTAGGAAATTAGCTGACTCTTAACAAAACAGAAAGAAGAAAATAAATATTAAATATAAAGTAAAAATCTACTAAATATGTTGTTGTTTGTTGTTGGTTAATTCCAACTATGAAAAGTAAAATTTCTCCACAGGTTTTCAAGATTATAACTTTGAGAAGCTGATCACGGGTTCTATCTTCCAAGGAGCCACTGGTGGGTTCAGATCGTGTCTCAGTGACGCAGTGAAACACCAGTGGCTGTGATCCTCCTACTACAATGATCAGCAGATTCAACTGTTCAAAATTAAAACACCATAATAAAGTTTGAATTTCAAGGAAAGAGAAAAAAAGCAAGTGTAAGTAAAAAGAAAGAATATCGAGAGACCCTTTCCACAAAGATGGCTCCTGCCCCTCCCCAAATGGAAGCCAAAGCAAAGGCTTTAAAAGCCAAGGAGACCGTGCTGAAAGGCGTCCACAGCTACAAAAAAAAGAAGATCTGCAAGTCGCCCACCTTCCGGCGGCCCAAGGCCTTGAGACTGAGAAGGCAGCCCAAATACCCGCCTCGGAAGAGCGCCCCCAGGAGCAACAAGCTGGACCATCCTGCCATCATCAAGTTCCCCTTAACCACAGAGCCTGCCATGAAGAAGATCAAAGATAACAACGCACTTGTGTTCATTGTGGATGTCAAGGCCAACAAACACCAGACCAAACAAGCTGTGAAAAAGCTCTATGACATTGACGTAGCCAAGGTCAACACCTTGATCAAGCCTGACGGTGAGAAGAAGGATTAGGATCGACTGGCTCCTGACTATGACACTTTAGATGTTGCCAACAAAATTGGAATCATCTAAAGTGAGCCCAGCTGGCTAATGCAAAATATAAACTTTTTCAATATATATAAAAAAGAAAGAATATCAATATTAATATGAAAATAAAAAGAAATCTGAAAATGTAACATTAAATAGATTATGAGATATCATATAAAAATAACCCCCCCGACATCAAGTTGCTTCTCACTCACAGTGACCTTATAACACCCAGAAAGAACAGTCAAAACAGAACATCTCTGCAGAAGCAGATGGCCACATCTTCTCCTGCGGGCCAGCTGGTGGATTCAAACTGCTTATCTTTTGGCTAGTAGAGAAGGGTTTTCACCACTGTGCCACCAGCGTGCCCATAAACAAAGAGGCATAAAGTATTTAAAACATATAAATATCAATCATGATTTTGAATATACTAAACAACAACCCAATTCAATATTTAAAGCAAACACAGAAAACAAATATGTGAACTGAAAAATACTCAGATCCATGAGAGGAAGATAAAACTATCATAGAAAAATATGCTGTCTGACTGCTCAGCAGGACAAAAGGACAGAAAGTGAAGTAAGGATAGGTTGAAAAGTGAGGAAGCAATCCCAGAATGAAGACAGCCTGGAAGGAGTGTCTTATATTGTGTCTATAGACCACCCAAAACTCTGCCTGGCCCTGGAAATGTGCATGGAACCCTCACATCTCAGGGTACCAGTGAGTGAAGTAAGATGTGAGGTCCCACCCTCTGCAGGGGACAGCAAGTTTACAGTTTGAGTCTTGTGAAATGAAGTGCCTACTTAAAACTAGCATTCTTTTGAGGGAGTCAATCAAAATACAGGCTCTCTGCAAAAGATTATTTTCAGGGTTCAGAAAACTAGCCAGAATTATTCAACATATCTCATCCCCACCCAGAACAAAACAAAACAAACAAACATGACATATTTGCACAAGACAAATGATGAATACCAACTACAGCCTGACCCAGATGTTACAGTAACATTCCATGATCACTGTCCAACCCCTCTTCCCTCCCTCTGCTGTTCACGGGGGCAGACTTATGTTGGCCTCAGATGGATCTCCCTGCCTTTCCCATGGCCCTTCCCAAGGTCTCTCACAGGTGCTCCATCTAGTAGAATCCTTGCAAATTCAGTCCAATTTTGGCATTTGCTTCTCTGTTGACTCAGGTACACAACTGTTGTGGGGAGCCCAGAAGTCCAAACCACTGTTCTTAGATGTTGGTGGGCATCCAAATCACGTGTGTGTGTGTGGGGGGGGGGCTTATTAAAACACAGATTCCTGAGGTACCAAAAAAAAAATTCTGAATATGCATGTCTACCAAGGTCCTGTGGTCACACTCTGAAAACCACAGGTCTGACCTTTCCACTCCTTGACTGAAAACAATAGGATGATAAGGAATCTCACTTATCACATTCTTCGGGCTTCAAAAACTATGATTTCCAAGTTGTGCTCTGGAAAAAAAATTGATGTTTGAGGGTCTGCTGTAGACACAAACATACAGGTTAGAGGCAGTGGTTCTCCCCTACTTCTTTCTGAGAAACTGTGATATTATCAGTTTTATATGTTGCTTTCAGGTGCCGACAACAGAACAAAACACTGCTTAATCCTATGCCTTCCTCACCTTGTTGTTATATTTGACTTGACAAACATGCGCTGGGTCAACTCATCTCATTTCCTCTTTTTAGCTGCCGATACTTTACCAAGATGTCCTTTTCCAGAGACTAGTCTCTCCTGATAACGTATCCAAAGGACATGCGACTAAGTGTCGACCTCCTGGCTCTGAAGGACATTCTGGCTGCACGTCTGTCAAGACAGATTCGTTCTATCATCGGTCCATGGTACGTTCCATATTCTTCATCAGCTCTATGATTCCAATACATTGATTCTTCTATGGTCTTCTTTAGGCAGCGTCCGACGAGTCTATGAGGTGACAGAAAATATCATGCCTCGAGTCAGACGCACTGTAAGCCCTCCAAGCGGCATCGTTGCTCTTGAGCACAATACAAAGGTCTTGCGCAGTAGATTTGCCCAATGCAACATGTACCGTTTGGACCCACCAAGTGCACTGTAGAAGAAAAATAGCAGCTTCCCAAAGCTTTGTAGACTCTATGGGGGTGATTCTCCTCTATCATATCTGGTTGTTGGGAGTCAGAATAAATTTGCCGGTAGCAGGGTTTTTTTGCTATTGTTTTATATGTCAATATGTGTGTGAATATATATACTTATACATACACAGAGATATGTCATATATGTGTGTACATGTGTGTTTCAGCTTATTACTTATGGGAAAACTAGACTGGATTAAGTCACACCTGGTTAAGGTGGAAGGAGAGGGAGAGAGGGAAAAGAAAAGGCATTTGAAATGTCTGCAGAGCTCATTAGTGCCCTGATACCAAATGATTCAAGGATATCTTTGGCTTTGATTCAAACAGTTGTTCTCTTCTGAGAAACATGACGACAATCTAAGGATCCACAGCTGGACCTGGGAAATCTTGTCTGATTCTTCTGTTATAAAGCTAACAAATTTTCTGTACAGATGTCTGACACAGGACCACTTCAGAATGAATCCTGTCTAAGTTAGGGAGCCAGAGGAATTGCTCTCTGTCGTTTGAGTAAATGTGATTTGTTTTTAAGTTGCTCCGGTATTAAGAGAGGCTGAGCAAGCAGTTTGGAGAGGTCCTGGTGTGAGCTGAAACAAAAGGGAACATTAGTACTCACACATCATGTTGGGATGTGTTTTTGTTACACTAAACTCCGGCTTTCGGCCCAGGATACCTCATTTCACGCTCCAAACACCTTGGAGGAGAGATCCTTTCATCAGGATGATTCCTTACACATAGTGCTTATAGCCTGTCTTCTCTTGTTCCACAGAAGGTGATGCCAGAGTGGATGCGACCAATGACATCATTCGATGTGGAAATATGAAGACACGCAACGTCTTCCTCAGGCACACCCTTCAGTCTTCATTAATCACAGTGCCAAAACCTGAAGCCAAAAGGGATCTCACACTTCATCAATTTAGTTGCTATGGTTAAGGAAAAGTTAATACTTTAAATACCACAATAACATGATGAGATGAAAATCATAAATTTCTTCCAGGGGGTGTTAAGATTTTTCCCTGGATGCCACACTTTCCGCTATTGCTATTTAAACTAAAGATAATCTCTATTAGAGTAAGGCAGTGACTAATTTAATAAATAATGATCACAACTTCCTTGTTATCAATGATTGTTATCAAATTTATATCTGTTCCCTTCCTCAGTTCTTCATCTTTCTTTTCTTGATCTCTACAAAGCTGTTCACTAATGAATGGTCCTTGAGTCAACTGAATACCAAGGATCTCAACATATTTCTAACATTTTATCTTTTTGAGAATATAAAATCAAAGCCCTGTGGATATATTTTCCTTGGGCAGACAAAAGTGAAAATTTCCCTGGTGCAAATAAATTCTCTCCCCTCTCCCCTTAAATTTCCATAAGAAAATTTCTACACTAAAATTTGCACGGATGGTGTAAATTTTCAGGAGTTTCTCTCATGGAACCTCAATTTCCCATACACCTTCTAACAAACACTGACCACATCCTGACCAACAGTAAGCACTATGTAATGCTAAGCAGACCTGAGCCTGTAGGAATCAAGTGCCATGTGTTCGGGACTGCTGTCAGCACTCACCCGGCACCCGGCCTTTCCTTCATCCATCCCTACAATTAACCAGGAGTGAGGTTTGGAGGTACAATGAGTACTTCTGACCCCAAAGGCAAAGGGGAAAAAGTCACTTGATTGCTATTTTGCAAATACTTTGCTAAAATTGACCACTATCTGAAATTATTTCATTCCTATATAGGTGTTGCTTGCATAATCCTTTTCTCCTGAGACCATTTGACATTCTTTTGAGTAGCCCAACAAAATCCCAGTATTCTAGAATGTCACATGGCCACATTGTTAAAGAAATTGATGCCTAGAAAACGTTTCTTCTGGAGACAAAAAAGTAACTGGGTGATGATTCCTTTTGCGTTTAACAACAATTTCAGACAGATGAAAAACAACTGATTTTTTTCATTTATAAACAAATTCAGTAAACATTTTCTAGAACATTATTTTGCTCAAATAAGACAGTAAATGGAGCCATTAGCATGGGAAAAGAGCTTCTCTCCTCAAAGAGTTAGCAGTTGTACCCGAGTACGCTCCTGAGCAAAGGATCTTTAAATCATATTCTGGGAAAAGTAAATGATAACATACGGTTTACAAAATGCAGAAACCATTACACAGGATGCACTCTGTCTGTGGTCAGGTGGAAGAAGACTTCAAAGATAGATGATTGATAATTAGATGAGATCCTCATTTAGGCAGTGATTCTCAGCACCTCAATTTTTTATACTCTCCTAGTCAGTATTAATGGGAAAGTTGGATAATGAGTAAGGAAGACCAAAGCACTGGCACTTTTGCATCATGACGTTGTCAAAGAATATTAGCAGTGCTCTGAGCCGTCAGAACACACAGATCTGTCTTGGAAGAAGCACAGCCAGAATGCTCCTTAGAAGCAAGGGTGGTGAGCCTTCATCCCATGATTCTAGAAACGTTATCAAGAGAGACCAGTTTGAGGAAAAGGACATCATGCTAGGTAAAATAGCGGGTTGGAAAAAGAGGAAGACTCTCAATCAGATGGATGGACACGTGGCTGCAACAATGGGCTCACACTATTAACAATTGTGAACATGGTGCATGACCGGACAGGGTTTGGTTTTATGAGTCGTAGCCAACTCAACGGCCTCTAACAACAACAATTACGTGTGTGATTATTTGAAGGAGTAGCAACACTTCTAGATAATTCAAAATGTGGTAAATTCATCTATGCAAAACAAATAATAAAGTAGAATCTATTTTAAGTTGTTCCCCCCACCCCACCCCAAGCCGTTGCAGACCAAATTTCAGACTGAAGGGGCATAAATCCAGTGACTTGA